TTATTGATATATTTACAATTTTAAAACAGTTTGAAAGCCTATCAGTGCCTCAATCACTATAATAAATTCTAAATACCTGTAAATCTTGGTATTTGGTTGTGAGATTTTATCATGGAAGATCAGAGCTCCCCCTGCCCCCTTCATTCACAGAATTCATGTCCAGGGCTCTCAGCCCTTTTACCCCAGCTGCCAGGGTTACAGGGCCAGGGACCTAAGTCTGAGCCCTTGGCCCTCTGCAGTAGCACCTGAGTCCTGGCTGCTGCCCATGGGAGGTGGTGGCTGCTGCTGCTGCAGAGTAGCAGATCCTGGCACCCAGCATGGCAGGGCAGAGTGGGGCTGGGCAGGGAAGTTTCTTGCTACTGTGAGCTCTGTGCTGCCCTAGTGAGGTGTCCCCTGCCTGCCCAGCAGCCACGAGGGGCACAACTCCATGCCACTGCTGCTGCAGTTCTTGCAATGGCAGCAAGGAGCTTCCCTGCCTGGTCCCACTCTGTCCTGCTGCGCTAGGTTCCGCCTTCTGGGCTGTGGAGGCCCCAAGGGAGGGCAGCAGGGCAGGGAGCCCAATCCTGCAGTGGGCAGCCCGCACATAGATCTGGGGGCACCCAGGAGTGTGTGCAACAGTGGGGAGCTGGGCCCCAGTCCCCTCCCCTGGACAAGCTGCCTGTGGCCCTGTCCTGCTCCCCACTGGAGCCTTATGGCTGCACATTCTGGCCCTGGGACCCAAGCGCTGCCGGAGTGGACAGCAGCCCCAGCCCTGCCTAACTCCCTCCCTCCCTCCCTGTGTCAGCCTCAAACCCCCGCCCCTGCCAGACTTACCTGAGGGAACTGCTCTCCAGGCTCCCTGGCAGCTATGTGTATATACGTGCACATGGTGCCTCTGGCCTGACTGCCCTTCTCCGGTTCCCCCCAGCCCCTTGCAGGCTGGAACTCTGCCATCCTGCAGATTGCTCGTTGCAAAACTGCAAAATCTGCATGTTTCTCCTTTAAAATGATCAATCTGTGCTTTTCTTGCGTAAAGGGGGAAATCCACTTTTTTTTTCTGTTTTTCCATGGGAAATGGAAAACCTGGATCCCAGGTCATTAGGCTGCTAGCTATTTTCCTCTTAAGCTATGGGTACTAGTCCCCCTTGTCCCTCCTACATCCCTCTCCCCACCACCTGGTTCTTTCTTCCCCGCCCTCCCTTCTGCCCGTCCTGGTCCTGGTGCCTTCTGAGTCCTGCTGGGGCACCCACCCCAAGCTGAAGGATAAGCTGTAAACTAACCTGTTATCACTGCGCATACCAGTTAAAGGATTAATCATTTAACCTTTCACATCCCTACCTTGTGTTTAAGCTGGAAGGATTTCCCTTTCTAGAGGACAAAGGGGGGGTGGCACTTATTTGCACGTTGGCAGTTAGAGGAACATTCCCTATTAAATTGTCTTTGAATGGGAAGGAGATTAGTAATACCTCTTTTCCCTCCTTCCCCCGCCCCTCCCCTTATCTCACGCTTCACTTTGTCGAAGGATGCTTGTTCTATAACAGTTGAAAGCACTTTCCATATTATATGTCTTGTTTAAGTCTTCCAGCAAAAATTAGGTTCTTGTAAAACAAATATTCCTCTTCAGGAATACGGATTAAAATTTAATTTTGTCAAATTCAAATTTCAAGTTCTAGTCTTTAAGTTTCTTCCTGGTTATATTGCTGGTTTGCAGAAGTCTTTCTTTTAGCAATTCCTTCCCTTTGAGCTTTATTTTAATACTGTTTCTTGAAATTGTCAGCTTACTCTACACAAGTCTACCACCATTTCTTCATTCAAACCTCTTATTAAAATCGTGTTTTTCTTTAATTTTCTCATTCTAATTTAATATTAAAACAAGATTCTTTTAACAAATTAAAATCTCATTACAGAAAAAATTGCTCTTGCTGTCTTGCAAATAGAATGTATAGTGGTTGCTTTCTGAACTTGAAATCAAGTCAGGCATCAGAGTTGAGTATTTTTAGCATCTGTAGCGGCTTCAAATTTGTCTCAGCTGCTATAACTTTATAGTCATATTATTCTATTTAAGTACATTTCTGCTGTATGAAAGATACACAAATTACTATCAAAATTACAAAGCTGGCTTCTTACATAATTCCTGTACCATAACTGCTACAACACTCCAATCGTAACACAACACTTAAGGTATATTTCAGATAAATGAAATATGCTTTTATTTTGTTGCTTGTCAGATTTCTTTTGTCTAAACTTTGTGCAGTAATTTAACCACAGTTGTTAATATATCTGCCATTCTAATAGCAATACTAGGTTACAGCAGAACTGACTGAGAAACCTGCCACAGTAGGTAGCTTTATATTGAATGATAGAACTTGTACAAGTGCTTCTGTGTACAAAAGCATGTATTTAGACCAGGGCATCTGAAGGATGCTTCAGCTGAGTGTGTTTCATTCAGGAGAGAACATTTCTAGCTGTATCTAATTAGTAGAATTAGATTATGAAGTGGGTTTGTTTGTAGAAAAACTTTTTTTCATAATGACTTTATCGGTGCTTAAGCATTAAGGTTATAGAGTGAAGCACTTAAATAAGAAATAGTGTTAAAGTTGCATGCACAAACTGCATGGATTCTGGCATCTGTTACATTGCCTTATTGGGACTCTTCATCTTGGAGAAGTGAAGGCGCAGGGGTGACTTGGTGGCACCCTGTAAGTGTATAAGGGGTGTGCATCAGGAACTGGGAGAACATCTATTCAGCTGTGCTCCCCAAGGGAAGACAAGGTCTACTGGTCACAAACTTCTAGAAGACTGTTTTAGACTGGACATAAGGAAAAACTTCTTTACAGTCCTAGTCTCTGGAGTCTGGAATAGACTTCCCCCAGAAACGGTGCAAACACCTACTCTAGATACCTTTAAGAAATTCTTGGATGCTTATCTTGCTGGGGTGATCTGACCCCAGCTGACTTCCTGTTGCTTGGGTGGGGGGGTGGACCCAGTGATCTCGCAAGGTCCCTTCCAGCCCTAATGTCTATGAAATCTATGAAATTGAATGCAGATTGGAGACTAGTGGGGAAAGCTGTATACTTATTCCTTTGAATTTGGATTGAATACTATTTTCACAATCTAGATGAGGAGTAGATTCTTTAAGATGATAGTTTGATATTCTGGAGCTTGATTTGATGTGTGCAAAGGATTATGTGACAGTTGTCTAAGATAGCAGGATCACACTGACCTAGAAGATCTCTTTTCATTTTGAGTTCTTCTGATGTGAAGTGGCAACTGAAGAAATCTTAAGTGTTTTGCACAGTTTGTGCAGTGAGTGGAGCGGAGATTCATAGAAAAGATTAAATATTACCTTACTGCCTCATTCATTGTTTCATAGTTTCTAGGGTTGGAAGGGACCTTAGCAGATCATCTAGTCTGACCCCCTGCCATGGCAGGAAAGAGTACTGGGGTCAAACGACCCCGGCAAGGTGTTCATCTAACTTCATCTTAAAAACCCCCAGGGTAGGAGCCTGCACCACCTCCCTTGGAAGTTGGTTCCAGACCCTAGCCGCCCTGACCATGAAATAGCGCCTCCTGATGTCTAACCTAAACCTACCCTCTGCCAGCTTGTGACCATTATTCCTGGTCACTCCTGGCGGTGCTCAGGGGAACAGTGACTCCCCCAGTGCCTGCT